ATTGCTGAGACAGCTGAGGTGGCTCAGGATCAGAGGGATGGGCTCTGATTAGCAGATTGGAAAAGAAAAGCAAAACTAAAAAATAAACTAAATGAACTAAACTAAAAAATAAACTAAAACAATTTAAAAAAAACCTAAAAAATAAGCTAAAAAACCTAAGAATTTCAGTTCTTTCAGCACTGACACCTCGTGCTGTTGGGATGAGTCGCTGAGATGGCTGAGGTGGCTCAGGATCAGAGGGAATGGGCTCTGATTAGCAGATTGGAAAAGAAAAGCAAAACTAAAAAATAAACTAAATGAACTAAACTAAAAAATAAACTAAAACAATTTAAAAAAAACCTAAAAAATAAGCTAAAAAACCTAAGAATTTCAGTTCTTTCAGCACTGACACCTCGTGCTGTTGGGATGAGTCTCAGCCATTGCTGAAGGAGCTTGGGATCAGAGGGACAGGGGTGGAATTTGAATTAGCAGATTGGAAAAAAAAAACAAAACAAAAAATTGAGTAAACTAAACTAAAAAAACCCTAAAACCCCTAAGAATTTCAGTTCTTTTTCTTTTTTTCAGCACAGCACAACACCTCGTGCTGTTGGGCCGAGTCTCAGCCACTCCTGAAATAGCTCAGGATCAGAGGGATAGGGCTGGAATTAGAATTAGCAGATTGAAAAAACAACCCAAAACAAAAAATCAACTAAAAATTGTCACCTTTCTGTTCTTTCAGCACACCTGGTGCTGTTGGGATGAGTCTCAGCCATTGCTGAAGTAGCTCGGGACCAGAGGGATGGTGCTGGAATTAGAATTAGATTGAAAAACACCAAAAAAAAAACCCAAAAAATAAACTGAAATGGTCATTTTTCAGTTCTTTCAGCACAGCACCGACACCTGGCACTGCTGGCATGAGCCAGCCGGGTTGGAATGCCCAGCAGGTTTCTTTGGGCACAGCTGGCACGGTGCCCTCTCCTCCAGCCTCACCTCAGCATTCCGTTTCCATGGCCTCACCCACGGCTCTAAGGACTCTCCACCTTTATCTCCTGACCTTTCCCTGTTTTTTCCGCGTGTCTTTGGGAGTTAATGAGCAACCAGAGATTTCTGCCAGCTCGTTTCAAGGTCCTGAGCTCCAGGAGCCACTTCCACACCGTTCTCTCCTTCCCTGTTCCGGCTCCMCAACCTCTCCCTACGCCGGGATAAAAATAAATAAAATAAAATAAAAAACAAAAAGGTGTGTTTTACATCCTAAACCACTGGCTCAGCAGCTCCAAACCCAATTATTGCATGCAAAAAAAGCTCCTGGCCACAAGCACACATCATCAGGGATGAGTCCCCGTGCAGGAGGTGCAGGGGAATAAAAAGAGACATTTTTTATGGGACAGTTACAGAGCTGTAATTTCCCACATCCGTTTACGACTGCAAACAAGCACAGGCAGGGGAAGGCACTATCTGTTACCAGAATGATTTTGAAAACCTTCACCCCACAGGGTGAGGAAAAACCCCGTGATTTACAGCAGAGCCATAACTATAAAAGTGCAGATGGGAGCGGAGCTGCTTTGCTCCTGGCTGACGCTGAGATCTCATTTAACCGTGTGCTTAAACCTTAAATATTCAACAGTGAATGGGAATTGAAGCAGGGGAATCGTTGTCTTTAAGCTGCCAGCCTTTGCTCTGCTCAGCTCTCCAGATCAGCGTTTGTTACTCGGTCATGAGTGGAATTGGACACTGCTCCACCTTCCAGCCTGGGCAGCCCCAAAACTCCTAAATCAAGGAAAAAGGGCAAGGAAAAAAAGCATTCAAGGCATCTTTAAATGTTAAAAAAGAAGTTGATGAGAGAACAGACGCTTTCTTCTCTTTTATAATTTAGATCACCTTGCAGGGTGATCCTTGGGCCAAAGTCCCAAAGTCACCCAGTGAGACAACAGGCGGCTGCTTTTCTTTATTCTTTTTAATTTTGTTTTTTTGACCTCTACCTGCTCTGCATTATTATTATTATTATTATTGTTATTCATTATTATTATTATTACCCCTACCTGCTGTGCATTAATATTAGTATTAGTATTATTAACATTATTACCCCTACCTGCTCTGATTATTATTACTCCTACCTGTTCTGCAGCATTATTATTATTATTATTGTTACATCAACAAGAAACAAACTTTCAATAAAAGATTGCACCGCACACCACGTGTCCCATTTCCTCCCTGAAATATTCTTGCCTTTAGCAGGTCACTGCAGCAAACCAGAGCATTAATAATTATTTTTGCTTACTCCTTTCTCCCCACAAAATCCAACCCATCCAATGCCAATCTATCCAGGCTAAAACTGGAAGCTGGAAGAGGAAATGACCTAAGAGAAAAGTAAAATTCATGCGAAACGTYGGCGATATTAAAGCAGAACTCAGAAATCTTCACAAATTAGCAATGCACAGTAATTGAAGCTGCTTGAATCATGCTCCTCCATCCTTCCACTTCAACGGGATATGGCAGGAAGTAATTAATGGAGACAGGCTCCCTTGCATAGAGCTGGGAATAATTCATCTGGCATCTCCTTTCTGCTATTGGCTGTTTGGAAAAACTGATTTTTTCCCCATTTAGAACAATTTATTTCACATGTAACACCAGGGATCAGCAGATCTTTATTCTTTAAATGCACATAAAGAAATTTAATGGGAGCCCATATGGAAAATTCAACCTTCACAAAGGTTTTGTAGATAAAGAGTTTCACAGAGTCTTTTATATTTAAAAAAAATAAGATACACAAAACCCCAATTCAAATAGAGCCCTAAAACTTAGTGTTATGTGCTAGGGATTTAAATAAGAGCATAAATTTTTATTGCTTCTCCCTTTTTTTTCCACTCAAAATTACAAAACCTGCTTAGAATAAAACGGTTCTTCATTATTTCTTTTTGGTTTTGCTGTTCATGTTCTTCTCATCAGTTTCACCTAAAATTCAAAGCTTGAAACTAATTAGGCCCTCAATTTCTTTTGGTAGGAGCGAAGGCCATGAAGAACACTCAGGATTCCATTATGGATAGCAGATGCTAGATACATTCATTTATAAAACGCTAAATTTAGAAAGATTGGAAGAGAGATCTGCTGAACCTTCCAAAATTAAAAACCTCCTTGTACTTTGCCACAGTGGAATCAGTCRCAGCAAGTCCTGAGGAAGCAGAATCCAAAGAGTTTTCCATGAATCCATCATCCCATGGATGGCATCCCATGACCCACAGCGAAGCAGGCACTGCCTGTAGGGCACATCAGCCCAATGACAACGTTCTCCGTGCTGGTTTGGGGTTATTTAATCCCCAATCTCGTGTAGGGAAAGATGCACAATTAATGAAAGAGATCAGCTCCCCTTTTCACCCTGGAAATCCCACATCCATCGGTGCCACCCTCGGGATAATTCCCTGTTTGGAGTCACCACGGGATCCTTCCCCGATGGTTTTGGCCGCTCTGTCGCCACAAGGAAACTCTGCTCACACAAAGGCAGAGCAGCAGCACTTTCCCTGCCGCCCAAAAAGGAGCCAGCTGGCTCCAACAAACCGCTCAGGGCTCGTATTCCTCCGGGAAAAGCTGGAAAGCTCTTTGGGATACCCCAACATTGCCCTCCGTGTGCCCCGAACCCAGGGACAGCGACCCAGCCCAGGAATGGCAGGAGGAGCTGGCACCGCAACTGAAATCAGACAAAAAACCCGAAAACTTGCTCCAAACACTCCACCACCATTCTATAGGAAGCGGTCAATTCTCAATTCCYAAAGAGTTTCCATTAATTTAACGGGAGTAAAACAGGAGGAGAGCCCGAGTCCCTTCCCCGCCGTGGCAGCGCTCCCCCATCCTGAGCCCCCGGCCTGGATTTTCCAGGCAGCCCCTCCAGGTTCAGCAGGGCAGCAGCTGCCACCCCTGTGCCCCATCCCTGTGCCCCATCCCTGTGCCCCGTCCACGTCTGGCACTGCCAGGGCTTTTCCAGGAAGGACTTTTGCCTCTGGAATCTGCGAGAGCAGCTGGAGGAACAGGCAGGCTGAGCCGCCGCCTCCCCTCTCCTTGGCACACAAAACCCTCCCAACATTCCTCTCCGCCCTCCCATAAATTTCTCCCATACCCGGCGTAATTCCTGCCAGAGCCGATTTGCCACACAAGGACAAACTCCCCGTCCTTTGCCCCCGTTACGAAACGCGTGCTTTGTGCCACCCCAAAAGCTGTGTGGCAGCACCACATCCTAAAGGCAGAGGAAGCCGCAGCTCCAGCGTGTGCCGGGCATCCGCAGCACCCGGAGCATCCCATGGATTCACCATCATCACCATCATCATCATCATCATTATCACCATCAGGAAGATCACCCAGCCCGAGCAGGGACAGCTCAAGCACCACCGMGGCTCACAATGCCACTTGTCCTGGCTTTTCCAGCCGTTCCGCTAGGGAAGGGACAGGCGCGACAGCGCAGTTGTAATGACATCAACTCCACACAATTCCCAAACACGATGCTGGCGCTCGGCTCGCCCGCTGGACASGGAATTACTGGAGGCACATTTTACACACCCACACTTTAAGAACCCTCAGGACTGCTGGTGTTTAACCCGAGCCCGGCTCTGTCCGGGGGAGGATCCAGCCCGCTGCCAAAGCCCCCTGGCCCCGCGCTCGCTGTAACAAAAGCCGGCTCCGGGGACTTGCTGCTCCCATCGTTATTCCGCGCACGTCAGAGCCACCTCCAGCAGCCTCTGCCTCGATGAAACCTTTACCACCGCAAAGGGCAAAGGGGGTACGGCCGCCTTCACGCCGTGCCGAGCGCGGAAGGRGCCACGAGGGATAAAGGGAAAGCAGGAGGATTACACAGCCCTTATTCAGAGACACCAAAAAGCGAGGAAATCCCCCTCCCCACAACGCACAGGATAACCACACAAACCTGGTGGGCGAGAGCACATCCACGCCTCGCCCGGAACCATCATCCCTCCCGCACCCCCCTTTTTTTTTTGTGGTTGCTGTATTATTTTTTTTTTTTCCAGCTGAGCACTTGCCTCTCCTCCGTGCCCATCAAATATCCCGAAGATGGACGGGTGAGTCTTGTTCACCAGGTCAGTGATTACTTCGAACCTGTCCTCCATGTGGTCCCTCCGGCCTTGGATGGAGTAGACGGCCACGTTGTGGCTCTTGAACTCCCAGGTCTTGGAGAACTCAGCGTCCAGCACGTCTAAACCCCCGAGCCTGTCATTCTGCATGATCTCGGCCACCTTGCCCTTCACCATCTTCACCGCGTCCCTGCTCGACTTGACAATGGTTTTCACCTCATCCGTGTGGAAGAAATAACTCCACAGGGCCAGGCTGATGCACAGCAAGAACAGGGTCTCCGGTCTGAGCAAGAAGTAACGCATGATCCGACCCAGCAGAGACAGCAAAGTCATTGTATCCTCTATCATTTATTATCGCGACCGTGTCTCCCCACAGCATGCGGCGGGGCGGCTCCGAGCCCGGGGCCGCTCAGTGCATGCTCGGCCGGCCGGGCGGCTCCGAGCCCCGCGCTGCGCTCCCTCAGGCTCGGCCGCCGC